GACTAGCATAAGAATAAAAAAGTTTTCTAAAGGGTACTCCAAACACAGCTTCTCCATCTGCAAGTGAACATCCATCATCTGCATAGCAAAACAAAAAAGACAGGTGTTGGGAGCTGCTGAAGCTGGCTATTGATCATATATGGAAGAGTAGGCTGAGGCTTTATTACTTAAGTAGTCAAGCTACCTCAGTCTAAAAAAAAACTGTAGGATCTGTTGGTCTCTTAGCAGTCATCAGGAGAAAATCATGAGAGAATTCAGAAAATAAAGACAAGAGATACTGAGGTCAGGTGGTGGACTAAACCTGATAGGCAAGACCTCCTGGACAACACAGTAAGGGCCTTTATATCTCTACAAAGTTGCAAGACGTAAGGTTGCCTAGCAACTAAGAGCCCACAATGTCCAGGCAGGATGATTTTCTCAAGACTGAGTTAACTTGATACAGATTTGCATGAGACATTGCCACTGTCTTCAGCTGGACTTGTGCAGGACACTGTCGTGGGATCCAGGCCCTCAGCTGGATTCTTTGGGCTTCAAGGGCATGGACAGATTACTTGCATTCTTGCATTTGATTCTTTGAGTGAATATTTGTTATGGTTTGTGTACAAGTCACCCAAAGTCTATGCCAGTCGTGGTGTGGCTGCTAGAGTTTGTGATTGATTACTGTGGATCTGCACCTGCCCTGGGTCAGATAATTTGCATTACAATGTAAGGAGAGATGAGAGACTGGCTAGCTGCCTGAGCTGTTGCCCCCTCCTTTTGCGCTTTGCTTTCTGCCATTACCATGAAAGGTTGCTCCTTTCCTTGTGCCACTCTGCATTGGAGCCAGCTGAGTATGCATTAAAACCTCCCTAGTAACTGTGAGCTAAATAAACCTTTCCTGTCTTCATTTTGAGTGTTGGGTATTCATTCCAGCAATGAGAGAAGAGTAACTAAGACAATATTATATATTAATCCTATAAATTATGTCCTGTATTAAATCTTTTCCCTTGGAAATCCTGATTGTAATAGCACTTAAGAATATAAATTTCCCTATAAGCATTTTTGCTTCATCTCATGTTTTTATCACTTATATAGTTTTTTTTTTTTTTTTTTTTTTTTGGCAGAACCAGGGATTGAACTCAGTCCCTTGTGCTTGCCAGGGAAGCGCTTAATCCACTGAGCCATCCCCCTGGCCCCACCTATATAGTTTTTATCATCATATAGTTTTTAATCACCTCAAAGTATTTTCTAATTTCCTTGGGGATTTTTTTCTTTGATCCATAGGATAACTGTATAATTTCAAGACATTTGCTATTGTATTTCCAATTTTCCCCATTTCATATTTTTTGCTTTATTACACTGAGTTTAGAGATGGTACTTTCTCTGATTGTAATTGTTTTCAACTTATGGAGAACTGACTTATGTCCTACTACATAGTCTATTTTATATAGGGACGTGAAATTCCCAACCTGGCCTGAATGACTTCATGTTCTCTAAAATCGAAGAATGAATTTTAGGAACAAACGGAGGTTGAGGGTAAAACTTTATTGGAAAGGAAAGCTTCTATCGGAGAGGAACAGAAGGGGGTCCCGAGCGGGTTGCCCAGGAAGCTGTCTCCTTCAGGCTATTTTTATAGGACAAAACCATGCAGGGCTAAGGTAGAGACAAAGGGGTCCCACTTAGGCAGATACAGGGTGGGACAAAACTATGGTTAACCAATGGGATTACAAGCACCATTGCTCAGGTAAAATTTATTAGGCCTAGGACCAAATGGGGTAGTGACTCACGTAGCAAGTGGGTGACCTTATCTGGTGGCCTTCAGTCAGTGATTCTTCCCGACTAATGAGCAATCCTGGATGCCAACTTTAGGGAGGTCAGCATTTGTTTGATCTTTAGGTCTGGCTCACACCAGGAGCATCTCCCCAGTAAGGTGTCTGGTCTTTGTCATCCCCTTCGAGGGCCTGTCCCTGTCTAACTACCTATAATATTTCTA